ATTTAAAATAGTATTATGAAGGGGTGTTTTGTCGTTTATATAACTATAAAATCATTAAGTAATTATGGAGGGTAGTTTTTGTAAATTCAATTACTATAAATAAGAGCCTTGGGCTCTCATATTTCTTTGCACCATTCTCTTGATTCAAGAGTCTTTCTCTTCTTATCCCCCTAGCATTTCGGTCCCTCGTGATTCGACTTCTCTTTCTGTAGTTTTAGTATAGTAAGGTGAGCGCTGAAGCGCTGCACGAATCTTTCTTAGAAAGATTCAGCGACGAAGTTCTGCCCCTGCAGAGCTCGGCTCCTAGCTAAAACCCCCTTGTAAGTAAGTTATGCTTACCCTATTTTAAATATAGTTTATATTTAAAATTACTATTGTTATTATGAACTTATAATAAATATTTGAGCTATTATTATGACTTATATAAGTGTCGTTATAATATCTTTTTAACTACTCGCGGTACGGGGAATCTGGTTTAAAGGGCCGCATAGGGTTGTTGGATTTCAGAAGTGCTATATGCCAAAATGGTCCTGCCCTCCGGTGTTTTATGTCTGGCCCCTGTCTGTACATAGTGGTTGGAGATTATTGTTTAAACGCTTATATAATAATAATAATAAGACTAATAATTAGTCACGGTAAATATTAAACTAAAATCTAGTGGTAATAATACTAGGTTTCGTCGAAGGAAATTATTTTAAAGTAAACGAAGCCCTGTCCCAGTACCGAGGCACCACCTTATCAAGTGAGTGCATAGTCCCTTTCATGAACATGATTTTAATACAAGTACTGATTGAAGTATTAATTATATGTTTATGTGCGAGTTAATTGATGTTGCCTGAAATACGTGTTAAAGAACATACCTGATTATATATGATGATTATATATGATGATTTAGGATAAAGAGTAAACCTAAATTAATTATGAGAAATATTGGGTAGTATTTTCTTACGAGTACGAGTGAGTTATACTCAGAGAATAGAACTTTAGTATATGTCATTGATCCGGGAGCATGGATTAGACATAGTCATTGTCCCTAGTCCGAGAGTATGGATTGGACATAGTCAACTGTCATTAATCCGGGAGTATGGATTAAGACATAGTCAGTTGTCTTTAGTCCGGGAGTATGGATTAAGACATAGTCAGTCGTCCTCAGTCCGGGAGTATGGATAGGACATAGTCATTCGTCGTTAATCCGGGAGAATGGATTTACACATAGACACTTGTCCCTAATCCGAGAGTATGGAATGAGCACAATTATTGATCCGAGAGCATGAATTAGATCCGAGAGTATGGGTTAAGTGACAGGTAAAATTTAAGGTCCGAGAGTATGGATAGTCTCGTTGTAAGGATTAACGGGGTGGGGTAAGAGTTGCTTATATAAATATATGGTGAAATTGTATATTTTGTGAAGTTTAAATTATATATATGATATGACATTGTGGGATTGAAATCCCTGTGTACTCACCAGGTTTCCCAACCTGACCCACTCAAGCTTATTTGTATCACAGGTGTCGATACGAAGTTACATTACACTGAGAGATTAAAGAGATGTAGATCACTAGTGTAAATGAATGTAAGTTCTGTTTATGCTTATGTTTCTGTATTGACGATGACATCCCAAATGTCTTAAAATGAATAAAAATACATTTCTTCGGAAATGTTTTGATAACGTATTTATAATGTTTTACTGGGAACAAATTCCGCAACATTTTCACTAAAAGAGGTACTCTGATTTTGATAAAGCATAGACAAAATCAGTCTTTTCTGGCCGTGAAAATGGGGATGTCACAGTTTCCTAATACCGACTTGATGAGTGTTAGTCTACCACCAAATGACAACATTTTCGATTTCCACATAGACAGTTTAGATTGAAACTTCTCAATTACCGGTCTCCAATTTTTTGCAAGGTTCATATTAGCTCCAACCGGTACCCCGAGATAATTGAATGGTAGGGTACCCGACTCACAGCCAAGTATGTTTGCCCAATTTGTTGATTTAAGTTCACTTGCGCCAATGCCAAATACCTTCGATTTATGATAATTTACCTTGAGGCCAGAAGTCACATGGAAACACTGTAGAATGCGGGCTAAGTTTTTAAGGTTGGATCGTGACCACTCCCCGACAAACAACGCGTCATCTGCATAAAATAAGTGTAATATAGTCGGTCCAACATAAGGTATGTCAATGCCCTTGAAGATTCGTTGATCTCTAGCTGCCTCCAGAGCTACATTTAGACCCTCCATTGCAATTATAAAGAGAAACGGAGACAACGGATCCCCTTGACGCACCCCTTTTGAGATTGAAAATTCTTTTGTGGGCGATCCATTGACCAACACCGAGGCTCATGATGATTAAAGGCAACCCTTGATCCATGAACGCCACTTAGACCCAAAGCCCATCTGAGAGAGAGTAGAATCAAGGTATTCCCAATTAATTGAGTCGAATGCCTTATCAAAATCGACTTTAAAGAGAAGGATCTTCTTTTTGATCTTTTTTGCCCAAGAACATAGTTCGTTAATCACCAATGGACCGTCGAGTATGTTGCGACCCTCAATGTATGCGGATTGAACATCACCAATAACACTCCTAATTACCGTTTTGATCCTTGTAGCAAGAAGCTTGGAAATTATTTTATAGATGGTACCGATCAGGCTGATCGGGCGGTAGTCGGTGAGAGAGACAGGGTCTTTAATTTTTGGAACAAGCGTAATGAATGACGAGTTACACCCGCGAGAGAGAATTCCATGCTGGTCGAAGTGTTCCACTAGCTGCATGATGTCAACTTTTATAGTATTCCAGAAAGTTTTTAAGAACTTGAATGTAAATCCGTCGGGCCCCGGGGCTTTCTCGCTGTCACAAGCCCATACAACAGCTTTTACTTCTTTAATGGTGAATGAAGATTCAAGTCGGATGGCATCCATCATTGAGATGGATCTGAAATAGGAGCTAATAAGTTTGGGGCGCGACACCCAATTTTTCTTGAATTTGGCCTGATAAAACCGGAATACTTCACCTTTGACCTCAACCACCTTTGCGGTCCATCTGCCATTTACCATGAGCCCGTTTATATGGTTCCTTCTATTCCGACCATTTATATACCCATGAAAAAACTGAGTGTTTTCATCACCATCAATCGACCATTTGATGTGTGCCTTTTGTTTTAGGTCGAGAGTCACCAACTTTTCAATTTCTTGTAACCGTTGAAGACCACATGCCCGAGATTGTAGCTCATCAGTGGTTAAGTTGCGTGATTCAGACTCTTTCTCCAGATGGGCAATATTCGACTTTATGGTAATTGACTCCCATTCTTCCTCTTTCCTTGTCTTTAATTTTCATCTTATGATTTCATTTTTTTAAGAATTTGAATTTGGAAGCTAGGTATTTATCAGCATTTCCATAACCTTCGAATCAAAGCCAGGCATCAGTAACCAACTTCTCGAATCCTTCATTTAGAATCCACGAGTTAAAGCATTTGAAGGGTAGGGGGCCATAATCAGACTCTGTTGAAATGAGTGTGATGGGGCAGTGGTCGGATAGGTCTCGGGGGTGTGCTGTACCGGAAAGGGATGGGATTGCTGCCAGGAAGTCGTCACATGCAAGAAATCTATCTAACTTTCTTAGCTTTGCATCGACACGATTCATAAATGTGAAATTTTCTCCCCCCATTCGAAAGTCATGTAGTCCAGCCTCACTGATAAATCTATTGAATGCATGGGCACTAGATGAGCAATATTGTGAGTTGAATCTTTCCTCCGCTCTCCGAACAACGTTAATGTCACCAAATACGATCCAGTTCCCTACGTTAGCCTGTTTTAACTCAGTCAGTTCTTTCCACAATGATCTCTTGTCAACAGGTGCTTGAGGACCATATATATTGGCAAAGACTATATTGCTGGTTACACCAATCCATTTGCCAATTATAATGAGATAATAACGGGATTTTAAGACTTTCGATTTCTGAAAACAATTGGTATTCTAGATGGACAGTAGACCTCCAGACCTACCAGTTGCGTTGACCCCTTCAAAGTCATAATCTGATGAATCCCAACAACCGTTTACATTAATGTTTGTGTAGTCGTTCAATTGTGTTTCTTGAATGCCTATGAAAGTCGCCTTGTGCAAGAGTTTTAATTTTCTAACCCACCTTACTTTTTCCTCCACGCCTATTCCTCTAATGTTTAGGGATAAGCAATTCATTGATCAATAATTTGGACACCATTTTCGCCTATAATTCTTTCCAGGCACGAGACACTAACCTGAAAACCAATAGCATTCCCAATCGCTGCAGTCTGACTACTTTCCCCATTATTATTGCCATCCCCGCAATCATTGGTGTTATCTAATGAGTTATCTATTGGTTGAGTTGGATTGGTATCAAGATTTATGTTGGGTTGAGATAGAATTGTGAAGGTGGTGTTGACTTCAAGATTAGGCGCTATCAAGGAAGGGATTTGTACGAGATGGGAGGGGTTGCCTCGTGAAGGTGTGGTATGAGCAGAGGTGCGAGACCCTGATTTGATTCTTTTCCGTTTCTTTGATTTGTGTCCACTGCTGTTTGAATTGGTATCAGAGTCAAAACGGGCCTGAGGTGAAATGAAGGGAATATGCGTATTACTTGGAAATGGCCCAAAACAACCCAATGGAAGTGAGTTATTGAACAAGGGCCCAGGGTTGCTTTTTTTACATGATTCAGCTAGGTTGGGTGGTGGGACCGGGGAATTGCACGTGTTCCCTACAATCCCTATGGGATTTATAGAATTTGACCAAGGTATCTCAAACGACGCCCGTAACGTTGTATGTGGGTCCTCCGCATTAAAATTATTCTTGGTACCGTTAATGTTCTTGTGATCCAACGGAGACCCTTGGTCTCCAGCATCCACACTTTCGAGATGCGCTGGCGGTTGGTCGGCACATATTTCACCCTCTTCTAGTTCTTTGTTGCCATCATGCATCCAGGTGTCTGATACCGTATCATCTTCGTCGTCGCCCATATCATCTTCTCATTCTTCTTCTACTTGATCGAACGGGGCTGGTTTGAATGGAGACCAATTATTGGTGTATTCCACGACACCAATCTGGTAATTTACTCCGGCCGCTATGATTGTGATTTGCTGATTGATCCATCTCTTCTCTGATGTTAGGACACCTACCTTGCCCATCGAATAGTCCCTCCTATTCCTAATGCAATCGAATGGGCTCACAACTCTGCCAAATCTCTCCGCAATAAGGTTAAAGTTAACTTCGTCCCACAGTTTGAGCGGTAGCCCTAAAATCTTCAACCACGCCGTTCTCTCATATCTAACTTCATGTTTATCGGCCCTTTCCACCCATTTGAACCATTCTCTCCACCGGGTTTCGTCGTCTAGGAATTCCTGGGCCGCCACTGAGTTCCCGTAGTGCATTGCCATCCTGAGTCCTCTGAGATATTTGGTGTCATCACTCATGAGTATTGACGCCGGTAGGTTTCCGATGTGGTCAAAACTGTGTGCCTCAGCAATTAGGGTACTTTTGCTTAGCCAATTGTTCATGTGGGTATGGGTGTTTAGTATAACAAGAGGTGTCGCTGGTCTAATTTGTTGATTGGGTTGTTTTACTGTGTGTCCGGCCGTAGCCTGGGCGTATGACCTGTTATCTCTGATTCCATCGTATCGTGTGGCAGCCGGACCAGTAGGGTGTCTTCTGTCGCTGTTGGTGGTTGCATGAGTTGGTTTTTGTGGAGCTTTTCTTTGGTGTTTTGATATATTGACCGAAAGTGTTACATCCCTGCACTTGATGCCTTGTAATTTCTCCTCCAGTGCCTTCATATCCACAACGTCTTTGTATCTAACGAACGCAAAGTTATTACCTTGGTAATCCTTCCGTCCCCCGAAGTACACATCTACCACCAGTCCAAATTTGCTTAATGGGATGCGCAGCTCCTCCTTCCTGGTGCCATTGGGAAAGCCTGTCACAAAGTAATTGGAGAGATCGTTGTTTTCTACACGTCGCTGAACTTGCACTTTCTTTCTTCGCCGGACTTCAGTCCATTCGCCGGACTTCATATAGGTTAAATCAATTATCTAAATTATATAAAATCATATTAATATTAATATTATTTATTTATTTATTTATTTTTTTGTTTTATTTATTTATCTTTGTTTTTGTGGTTTAAAAATATTTTAGTATTGTTGACGTTTTATTTAAATATATTTTTTAATGTTATTTTTTTTAACGTTTTGTTCGTTTAAATTATATAATGATTTTTTGACCTTTTTTCGAATAAAATTAAAACAATAACCGAACATGAATAAAAATTATCGTTCGTTTAGTTAAGCGAACGAATATGAACAATGGTCTCGTTCATTCATTTATGTTCGTGAACGTTCGTTTATGATTTTCGTTCATTTAATTTATTTATATTCATTTATGCTCATTTTTTTATTATATTACCATATTATATGTTCGTTTATGTTTATATATGTTCAATTGTGTTTGTTTATCTTTGTTCGTTTAATATGTTCACAAACATAAACGAACAAACAGGAACAAAATAATTTGATAAACGACCGAACACGAAAAAGAAAATTCCGTTCGTTTATCCGTTCTTGTTCGTTTGTTTGTTTGACTAACTTAAACGAACGAACATGAAGATAAACAAACACCGCCTGTTTGTTTGTTCGTTCGTGTTCGTTTATTTGTTAAACGAACATGAACAAATCATTTGTTTATATGTCAATGCTTCTTCATTTATTGCCTAAATAATTATATTTTTTCGTATAACTATTTCTAAAAAAAACCAAAGTAAACATACATATATATATATATATATATATATATATATATATATATATATATATATATATATATATATCGTTAAAAGAAAAAGAAAAAAACAAATATTAAATAATTTTATTAGAAGACTGATTCGGGTTATTATTTTAATTTGTTTATTCGAAAAAAATGTCAAAAAAATCATTATATAGTTTAAATGAACAAAGCGTCAAAAACACAACATTAAAAAATATATTCAAATAAAATATCAAAAATATTAAAATGTTGTTAAACCACAAAAACAAAGATGAATAAATAAAACAAAAAACAAATAATAATAATAGTAATATGATTTTATATAATTTAGATAATTGATTTAAAAAAATAAAATAAAATTTATAAATAATCTATATTAATTCTATTAAAATAAAGATAAAAAACAATAATATATATTTATATATAATAAATTGTTAAAAGAAAAATAAAAAAGAAAGAAATGGTAATTTGGTGTTTTTATATGGACTAAAGACCTACAATATAATTTTCACAAACCATAGGGATATAACCTATCAAAATTTAAACTTAAGGACCAAAACTAAGAAGTCAACCAAACCACAATAACCACTTCTATAATTTACTCATATTTTAATGATATTAGTTAATACATACGCTTTCAACAAAATGAGATTAATGCACCACATTGGAAACTAACACTTGTAAAAAGAGGTGTTTGTGATTCTAATGGCGCGCTTATAAAATAAGTGTTTAATTAACATATGTAGTTATTAACACACTTAGTGCAAACATCGTTTTGTTAAATGTTGCATGTTTTATTGAAAAAACAACATTTTCAAAAAAGTATTTTTTGTTTTTTCATAGTAACACTTGGTTGAAAGTGTTGTAAAGACAGTCTAAGGTGCAACATTTACTTTAAATGTTGTTACACAAATAATACACATTCAAAACTTTAATCATCAATAAATATATATTTTTCTATAAAATAACAAATCAATATGTTATTTTTATTATATTGATAATATTATATAAAATAATTAGTATAATAAATAACATATAATTATGATATGTAGGTAAAAGTTTTTAATATTTGACTTCATACCATATGTTTAATTTTACCACAAAAAAAAAACATAACTTTTGAATTCCCTTTTATATTTCTCTTATTATTTTTCACCGAAATTTCAAGATCCCATCTTGATTTTTCACATTTGGTAATAGGTTAATTGTATTTCATTTAGAGTAAAATAAGCTTCAACAAAATTCGTATTACAAAGTTATGCATGTTGAAATTTAGCTACAACTGGTAAGTTACTACCCCCGCTTCGCTGGGGGGGGGGGGATTTGCATAAGCATACAAAAGCCTTGTGACCAAAGTTTAAAACCCAAAAAGCTAGGGACTAAAACTGCCACTATGCGAAAGTCTTGTGGTGAAAGTATGAAACTCAAAAGTCTTGGGGAGAAACATGGCAATATACGAAAGTATAAAGAACAAACCTGCCAATATACAAAAGTCTTGTGACTAAACTTTGAAATCCAAAAAGGCTAGGGACTAAAACCGCCAATATAGAAAACTATAGTGGCCAAACTATGAAACCCAAACTCTTTAGTATCCATTTACACTTTCTAATTAGTATATATAATAGTTTCTTATATATTACCAACTACCGTACTTTGGAGATAAAAATATATGACTTTTCGAATGGAGAATAGTGTCCATAGCCATAACAAATTGATAATATTACTATAAATAACAATGTCATTTTGGGTTAAACGGAAGAACAAAATAAAACAGAATTGAAAAGATATTTATTTTAGAGACTTGTTTTGTTAATTAATTAATTAGAAAACATAAATAATATGGAATATTCTCGAATGATTTGATTCTTGGATAATTATCAAAAGCCTAGACAACTACTAATATATTAGATAATTATCTCTAGGGTTTCAAATCACCTCCCTATATAAATAGGGATCAAAAACCGATTTTGGATGCATGTAGAAATAACCTTTCATCTTCAAAATTTGGAAACCCTAAGAAAAACCCAAGAAGAGCCAGAGCTCATCACCACACCGTTGTTCATTATTTGCCATGCGGTGGTCGCTGTCAGATTTGTTAATCGAGTCTTGTTCCTGCTGATTCTCGAGTTACTTTCAGATCCGTTGGTGTTCTGCGTCTTGGGTGCAATCACAAGAGAGGAACTCTATATTGGGTTCTCAAGTTTGATCAACTGGCTAGTCCAAAAAAAGTTGAAGAAAAACACGAAGGTATGATTTTGTTCTATTGAGTCCTTTAAGTTGCATATATTGTTTGTGCTAGATCTGGTTGTTATGGGTCTATAGATCATGAAAGTATTGTTGCTTTCGCTGTCCCGATTTGGTCTTTGACTAGGCTCGTAACCCATCAATGGTATCAGAGCGTCTGGTTAGCTCAAGTCTTTGACACTGAGACTTTGTCTTCGATTATATGTTAGGGTTTGTATGTGTAGGATTTATGATGTTTAAATCGTTTTAAATATTTTAGAAATTTGTCTCATTAAAATCGAATTTATTTATGCCTGTTAAAATGACTTTCGGGTCGTTCTGCCTCGTCGCCACGACATGGTTAGTCCTCTACCATGCCGTGGTCCTGCTGCTGCTGAATCTGGATCGTGATTGTCTCGTCGCCACATCGTGATCCCTTCATGGACATTTCACGATGTGCTTCTAAGAACATAAAACTACTATTTAATATACGTCACATTTTCTCTGTCACACGGCGTGGTTGCCCGTTCCTCACGTCGTGGAACCTAAGTTCCATAATTGTGAATTTGTTCCTTGTTTTTGCTTCGCTCTTTTTCGATTTTAAACACATACAAACTATCGTTTGTACTAAAAGATAAAAGTCGATTTGATTTAATTATAAGATTAATTAAAATACAATAGATTTGGACTTTAATAATTTAATTGTTGACTTGCATTTTTTGCTTAGTCAATAGAATTAAAAGACATAAAATTTAAATTGTTTAAATCTCGAATGCATATATATATATATATATATATATATATATATATATATATATATATATAGTATAATCATATTTATATGTATTACACTAAAATACAAACATTGCATTCTCGCATGTTTCTTAATGTACATTGTTAGTCTTACCATGACTAGGCTCGCCTATTTTAATGTTATAAGGAAGGTTCTACATGGTCTCTTCGATTCCTAATGAGGTTGGCTTTTAAGTGGCATTTAGTGCTCGCCACCCTTACCACCTTTTTGCGTTATAAGTAGAGCTACCGAAAGGATTTGATAGGACAATTGTGCAAATTTAAAAATATTAACTTAATAAGTAATAAAACAAAACCCCATTTTATAAGAATGTGAATCTTATGCTTCCCATGAAAATTACGCCTTGTCGGATATTCCCTTTGACATAAGCGTGTGTGGTTTACCGGCTCATCAAAAGAAGAATATAGTCTAAAAATTATATATATGGTGATCGCGATTCTTAAGCGTTACTTGAGCCAAATATCATTGTAACTTTGCATGGTCGATTCACCATTTGGATTTGTGATCCTCGGCTAATATCGTAATGAATGCTAAATGAGCATTAGAAGAGATTAACATGCTATTGATATAAGTCAATAAATCTCATTTTCTAGAAATCTCATAAAGATTGAGATTGATAATTGTCTGTCCACATAAATAACTTCATTGTGTAATTTTTGGCTAATGCACTTTACATTGTGAAGCCAAATATGGATCCTAGCCTTTTAATTAACAATTTGATATTGGGTAATTATATTAAAATGATTTCTTGTTGAAAATAATCTTGTTTCTTTTTCTTAATAGATGGCTCCTGGTTCGAGTGCCACTCTCCCTCCTGCACTAACCACTTTGTCAAACTTCTCACTATAAGCTCACTGGCCCAAACTATGTTGATTGGATTCGCAATCTGAGGATCACTCTGAGGTACGAGAAAAAGGAGTATGTTTTAGATGAGGAGCTTCCTATCGATGCAACTAAAGAAGACATTGTTAAATATGGAGAGCATCACTATCACTTTATCAAGGTATCATGTTTGATGTTGGCGACCATGTATCCAGAACTCCAAACAAGTTTCGAGAATCTTGGGGCGTATAAAATGAATGAGTAGCTCAAAGACATGTTTCAAGAACAAGCTCAAACTGATAAATTCAAGGCCATGCAAGCAACATGAGAATGGTTTTGTGAGTACCCATGTGCACAAATTAAAAGGGTACTTTGACATAATTGAACATCTTTGTT